TGTGTGTGTGTGTGTGTGTGTGTGTGTGTGTGTGTGTGTGTGACAAATACCCCCCCCCAAAACATGGACCAAGTGATCATCGTTCTTTGGGTATAAAGACAGATTTATTCTGCAACAAATATCTGTGATAATATAAAATACAATTATTCAAAGTGACGATTAGAGAAACAGAGATTAAGAATAATAAAACAGATAGAATGCATTTTAAGAACCCCCCCCTCGAGTTGATTATACCCCCTCAAGTCAGACATTGTGTATCGGCATGGCTCTGGGCCGAAACTAAAACAGACACGATATAAGGAAGATATTCATTACGAACCATTCAACTGAACAAAAGAGCTACCACCAGTGGTGTGTGTTTGTGTGTGTGTGTGTGTGTGTGTGTGTGTGTGTGTGTGTGTGTGTGTGTGTGTGTGTGTGTGTGTGTGTGTGTGTGTGTGTGTGTGTGTGTGTGTGTGTGTGTGTGTGTGTGTGTGTGTGTCTTCATGTTAAGAGTAAGCGTTCAGATAACCAATGAATAGGCAAATGTGGTGTTCAGGCAAGACATGAAATACGATCAGCTACTTTATAGTTCATTGTAAAAGATAGCATAGAAAAAAGGTTTCAAAACTAATGACATTATGAACAACCTTATAATGTAAGGAAACATGAGTCAAACATAAAGTTGGTACAAAACAAACTAAAATGGTAGCCTATGAAACATCATTTCACTTCAGTCAGGCTCTCACATGAAGCAACATGTAACGAATACTCCTGCAGGACGCCAACCAACCTGAGGCGAGGGATGGTGTACGAACAACGTTGATGAAGACCGCTTGGTGCCTCTCGCGCTGCTCGGCTGGGAGAATACAAATAAATACTAAATTAACACTAAGCATTAGGGGTGTAACGGTATCCGTATTCGTCCCGTACCGTCACGGTTCGGAGGTCACGGTTCGGCACACGCAGTCACACGGCGAATACGCCTTTTTTTACGAGTGGGAAAAAAGTCTGTCACTCAGGGCAGTATTACACTATATATAATCCAGGGGGCGGTGTTGCGCCTAAAAGCCAGCCGCCCGTAAATAACAAATGCAGAACAAGAACAACAAACACTACAAAATGAACAAAATACATGAAGAAGAAAAGTTAGTAGCTACGGCGAGTTCACACAACACACAGGAGCTAGAACCCACCTGCTTCGTTTAAATCAGGTGAGTGGGAACATGTCGGGTTCCCTGTGGACTACAACAATGATGGGGTGCGAGTTGTGGATCGGAAGAGGACGGTGTGTCGGCGTTGTTTCACAGTGGCGCGGTATGCTAGTGGTAACACGTCCAACATGCTAAATCACATCCGAAGGCATCACCCAGATCTGTCAATCACCGGAGCCCGGGAAAAGACGACAACTGTTCAACAGGTCTCCTCTCCTTTGTCCATGATCTTATCCACCAACTTCACAACGTGGCCCTCATCGTTCTCTTTGTTGATGCTTTTCAGATTGTTGTACTCACGTGGAGTTATCAACTCTTTCTCATGAACTTTGTTGAGGATTAGCGCGTAGTCTGCACCCAAAGTGTTCACAATGGATGTCTTATTACTTCTCAAAATGTCCTTGGCTGCCATGCTGAATCTGAGAGGGAGAAAAACAACATGCATAGTAAATATACTGGTCTATTTCTTTTCATCATAATCTGGCACCAAAAATAAAGTGTTGTGGTGACCACCTTTAATACACTGGGTTACATAATCCACACGTGGAACTAGAGTGGGGGTATTGTTTCCACACGGACATGTATGTGGTTGTCTCTATGTATTGTGTGCCCTCCTGTCTTCTCTCTCTTGTCGTCCCGGGCTGCGATCCGACAACACCTGCATTTCTGCTGCTCATTAAAGCAAGCTTTGTACCTCCATCGCACCGCCTCCGACTCCCATTCTCTCGGCACTACACTGTATCATTTTTTAATTTACTCACGACTTAAAAGCATCAATAAAAGCAGCAACACCTTCAGAATGAATCCATATCGCTTTAAAGTGAAGTTTATCTAGATTGAATCCATGCTAACCTGCTATCTATTGCTTAATAATCTGAACACACGAGCACAAAGTACCAAACTCCACCCAAATATCTGTGTATTTAACGGAAACGTGGGTATATAATTAACGTTGATTTAAGACTAAACTAGTTCCTAATAAGCTGCTGTGGTTAATGCTGGTGAGTTCTGCATATAGTAAGCCCTGTATTTATCATACATCTCCTCATAAACAGACAACCTGTGCGGCGCGCTCACAGGTACCAATCTCCACTCAACTTGCTGTATATTTAACGAAAACGTGGATATTGATCAAGATATGTGTTGATTTCAGACAGGAGAGTTCATAATAAGCTGTCTTGGTTACTTCTGATGAATTCAGCTTAATCATTTATCCACTATTAAACATGTATTTTGAATAAATAGCAAAATAAACGTCCCTCTAAAGAGGCGGGAAAACAGCAGTAGTGGGAATACAAGTTGTATAAACATTAATATACTAACAGGTATGTGTGGTGTGTGTACACCGAGTAAAAGATGTGATCCCGTAGATTCCTGTACTCGTGCTATTGAGTGTGTGTTTTCATGTAAACATCTACAGGATCATATAATGCATGTTCTTCCAAAGAGGTCTGGTTCAAAGCACCGCTAACCCTCCTGTTGTGTTCGGGTCTGACCGATCTACTACTTTCATCGATCATCACTTTTTAGTTCTACATTCGACTGCATTAAGGCTTCATGATATCCTTCACAGACATTTGAACATATTTAATGCTGATCAACACTTTCATTGCATTTTGGATGATTTAGTGAACTTTGTAACCGCCCTAAAGAAAAGGAATTGGTCACCATCCGGATCAGATCACACACTCACACACTTCCTGCGCTGGGCAAGGCAACGAAGAATGACATTTAGGCCCAATCCCAAACCACTCCCTCGACCTTCCCCCTCCGTGACGGAGTGAACTCCGTCTGTAGCCACACTCACAGCTGAATGATGTTCCCTCCATTAAGGGTTAAGGGTATAAATACAGCGGCAAGCTTTGGGACGGCCTCCCCTCTCTCCGCAGGAAACGGAAACGGACGTCATGGTGTCCAACTCACATCTCCATCTGTCGGCTGCATTGACCTGCGTTGCTATCCGTCGCCTGTTAGCGGGTGCAATGGCAAGATCCAACAGAAGGCGCAGAAGGTTGAGGCGCATTTTAGCGATGTGCCAGTGGCAGGTAAACATTTCAATATTGCTAATACAACAATTATCTTCACTTTATTTCTTATATAGTAGCCTATGAACTTTGTATGTGTAATACAAATAGATATTTAGATATATTGTGATATACATTCATTTATTCTTTCCTTATAAGCTATACGTGTATATCTGTATAGTGTCTGTAGAATTCCAACACAGAGAAATGTTGTCAGTAGTTTATAGAATAAAAAAGGAAAGGTTAATTTGACTTGGTCTCAGAATTGTTTACAGAGCTGTGTGTGTGTGTGTGTGTGTGTGTGTGTGTGTGTGTGTGTGTGTGTGTGTGTGTGTGTGTGTGTGTGTGTGTGTGTGTGTGTGTGTGTGTGTGTTGGAGTATAGTTATTGAACAATACTGTGTCCTGTGTTTGTCTTTTACAGGGGGGCAAAGGTCTTTGCATGCAGCTCAATGCCACTGCCCCAATTCTCGCCGTGTATGCCAACCCTGAAGCCTGTCTAAAGAAGGACTTTAGAGTTAAGCGATCTAGTGTGGTGTATTTAGTGCAGATGCTTTCCTCCCCAAAGGACCATGGATGGGGACAAGACATTGAGGTGCTTGTTCTCCTCTACAGCTTGGCCCATGAACTATCACTCTCTGTGGTGGGTTCAGCATTCGGGATTCCCAAATCGACGGTCCACAGGATCATCAAACACGTCACCGGGAAGATAAAGGCCAACCTGAAGACCCTCATTTCCCTGCCAACCGCAGATGAGCTGCCAGAGATTGCAGATGGCTTCTGTCAGCTTGCAAAGAGTCCTGCATTTCACCGTGCTGCTGGTGCAATTGATGGATGCCATATTCGCATCAAACCTCCAGGAAACGAGTACCACAAGGAGTACATCAATTACAAGCTGTTTCCTTCCATCCAGATGCAGGCCATCTGTGACTCAACTGGGAGATTCCTGGATGTCTTCATCGGCTATCCAGGCTCCGTTCATGATGCCAGAGTACTGCGAAACAGCCCCATCTTCTGCCAGGCACTGTTTCCCCCAGCTGGTTGGTTCCTCCTTGGGGACGGTGGTTATCCCTGCCTGGAAAAACCAGTGGGATTACTCACACCCTACAAGGTCCCTCGCGGCCAGGTGCAGGCCAGATTCAACAGGCATCATGCCAGGGCTCGGTCTGTGGTGGAAAGAGCATTTGGAAGGATGAAGGCTCGCTGGAGGGCCACCCTTTTCAAAGCGCTGGAGGTCAGTCCAAGCTTTGCTCCTGACATCATTGCATGTTGTGCATTTCTGCACAATCTGTGCATAGACATGAACGATGTCCTTGAGGATGCTGAAGCCTTCCCCCCTGAAGATGGGGACCAGAGTCCTCCCCCTACCGCAGCATGTGGACAGGAAAGTCCTGGACACCACCTAAGGAACAGGATTGCTGCGCAACTCTCTGCTCCTGTCCAAATGGCACCACACCTGAGAGAGCACGATTACATCGAATGAACTTTGTTTTTTTTTGGAAAAACGTGGTTGTCTGTTAACTTGTGTTTTTGAAATGATGTGCACACATACCTGATTAATTGTGTTTGTTTTAGTGAGCTCCACTTCTCACTTTAGAGAAAAGAGGTGAAATAAAATAAACCTGTGCACCGTTGACTTCAAACTTGGTTTTCCTGAATTGTCTTTCTGCATAATCCCAAATTGGAGACAAATGTCCTTACCTCTTGGATCATTCAATCACGAGCACAGAGCAAAGGTTCAGAAAATGAGGGATTGAAGAGGATTGTGGGGTTTGCTGAGGCAACAAGGACAGGAGGACTAATTGAAGGCCTTGCACCTATGGCCTCATCCATGGCCATGAAGAAGGGCCATGTTGCAGGGGTTTCTTCCCCCTGATCAGTCCCTGTTCCAGTCCTTGGCCTTTTAAGTTCCTATTGCAAACAAATGCATGTTAGAAATCTTTGTTCAGCTTTTTCAAAAACAAACATGTTTTACAATAACAATACACCATTTACCTTGTATTTCTTTTTTAGGTTCTCCCATTTCTTGGAGGCCTGTTTGTGAGACACATGTTGCCCAAGGTCCAGTTCCTTAATGATTGACCTGTTATCATAGAATATTTAAACAATATATATTGGTGTTAAGGCAATGACCCTCAGTGCACATTCATTGCTTTCATTGCACACAATATGAATTGAGTGCATAACTCACTCCCATGCTTCTTTGCAGAACAGGTCGTCCTTGTCCTTAAAGCAATAAGTGCCTTGGTTTTTACCACAGTCCCTGAAATCACAAATCACACTTAAGTTTAAACCGATTTCGTAAGTGAATGGATACATGAATTGACACGTGTTGTTAGTTTGATTCCGATTTAGATTTGTACATCTTCAAAATAAAAATCTAATGTAATCTTGGCAAATCAAATGAACACGTGTAGATTTATAAATACATGTTCACAAAGGCATGTTTTAGTTAAGGCAACGTATTATTTATCGTTTAAAAAAATAACCACATGGAACTCACATTTGTATGACGTTGTTTCCTCCATGCCCGAAAAACGGTTGCACACCTGTGGAGTGAGATTATCAAGCCTGCATCCATGCAAACTCGCTGTCGGAGGCTTTTATAACCCACTGCGCCTCCGCCCTGATTGCTTTGGACCAGCCCTCAATATGGCGGACTCTTCGCGTGAACGCGCAAACGGAGGGGTAGGGTGTAGGGGGCGGTTTGGGAATGGGCCTCAAGATAAGAAGCAGCATGTTACGGCGCGCTATGCACGGCGCCGCCTTGAGGGGGTTCCCGACATGTCGTTGCAGTAGATTAAAGCGTGTTTCATGTTGTCGTTTCTGTGGACCTTCTTAATCTACCTTCTTTGGGGGCCCCTTCTGGTCCGGGGCCCCTTCTGGTCCGGGGCCCCAAGCTGTTACCTGCCTTCCTGTTCGCAAGGTGCGCCCATGCCCACACGCCCACACACACACACATACACACACATACACACACACACACACACACACACACACACACACACACATACACACACACACATATATACACACACACACACAGAAAACTATTGGATACATTTCCTGCTCTTATGTGCCCATCCCCCTCCATGGATCACACCTGGCACACATGCAGTGTCTGTTCTTTGTATACTTACTGCAGTTGTTCATGTACACCAGTAGTCTGATACATTACAGTTTGAAATGAAATGTGGTGATGATTAATGGTTTTTGTGTTAATGTAATAGCAGTTAAAACAGGACCGGTCAAATTTGACCGCGAACACCAAAGTAAGGGGGAAACGAAGACAACAGCACCATTAAAGAACAAGCTTACCTGCATCAAGTCCTCCGTTAGAAACACCTGGACCGGGCTCCTCTGGGGGGTTTGTATCCCAGAATAGGAGCTGTTTTTCGGCTGCAAGAGTGTGTTTCCCGCTCCTCTGTTCGGAGAAGTGACTCCTTTCAAACTTGACTTTGACTTAAAAGCAGACCTGGGGCCTCATGTATAACGCCGTGCGTAGGATTCACGTGGGAAGGTTGCTTACGTAGTAGAAATCCGAAAAATAGGTCCATACATTTTCCGCCACTTCCCGATTCACCAAACATTGCATACCGGCGAGGAAAGTGCGTACGGCACTTCCTACGCCGGTTTCCCTTTATAAATCACAACCGACTCGAAATGCGGTGCAGCTTTTGCGGGCTTCACGTAACGCCCATTCATTCATTCATTCTGACTGACTGCATGAAGGAGATCGCAAGAAATGAGGACAGAAAGCTAAAACAGACGTCTCACACCGTGTCAGATTCTGGTTATTTTGGGGAGGTGGAGATAAATCACATTGTTTGGTGGATGCAGTTTGAACCAGAGGAGCAGCATGGAGGTCGGATCGTCACCAAAATAAATAAATAAGTGGCCCGAAAAAGGTTCATGACAAAAACAATACACATAGCCTTCCTCAGGCAGTGTGTTTGCACCGGGGACAGGAGACCCCCCCCCCCCCCCCCCTGATGAGAGACTAAGAAGTGATCGGGGAATCCCTCCGGAGTGGAGTCATGACGACTGGATCTGAATTATGTGTTTGTATTTGGTGGTTTGTGTCCCAGCTGTCGATCAGCTGTGCGCAGCGTCTCCACTGCAGCACGTGCGTCTCAAAACCCTAACCCCCCCCCCCCCAGCAACTCTATATCCACCAGAGGAAATACAACTAATGTGTTATATTAGCTGTTCAATTGACCACATGGTGTTCTTAGCTTCCAGACCTCCTGTGTTTTACGAGCGACTTCTCAAGTCTTGGCAAACGGCATAAAACACAATTAAACGTGATAGTATATAAAACCATGCTCGTATCAACAACCTATAGAAAAGCAACACGGCGTCAGTTTAGACGTAACTCTGTCCTCCTGCTCACCGCATCATTCATGAGGAAACATTTCATAACATTAACACAACATATTCCAGGTGGTTTTAAATAACATATCCGTATTTATTTATTCCTCCAGGTGATGTGTGTGTGTGTGTGTGTGTGTGTGTGTGGTGTGTGTGTATGTGTATGTGTGTGTGTGTGTGTGTGTGTGTGTGTGTGTGTGTGTGTGTGTGTGTGTGTGTGTGTGTGTGTGTGTGTGTGTGTGTGTGTGTGTGTGTGTGTGGTGTGTGTGTGTGTGTGTGTGTGTGTGTGTGTGTGTGTGTGTGTGTGTGCGCGATGAGGAGTCTCACACAGGCGTTCGTTAAATCATTTTAAGATTGGCTTTAATCAATGTTTGAAAATAAATTCTTCATATCTGATAAATGAGAGGTAACATTTTATTTATGGTATTATTTCCACATATTTCTCTTCCTTCTTCCAACGGGGTCGCAGTTTCTCGTCTCTCCCGTTGTTGTGCTCAGTGCGTACGCATGGGTTAGAGTTTGCGTGGAGGACCGCACATTTCCCCATCAAGTTAGTATTTTATAAATCGCAAACATTGCGTAGAAACTGGCGTACGCCATTTTTTGAGCGTATATCCCTTTATAAATGAGGCCCCTGAGCTGTGACTGACAGGAGGGGGCGGGACCTGAGCTGTGACTGGCAGGAGGGGGCGGGACCTGAGCTGTGACTGGCAGGAGGGGGCGGGGCCTGCCCTCAGTGGTGACTGACAGGCAGGACTCGGTACTACACTACACCTGTATAAATAATGAATTAGTCCAGAGGCCTGACCCCCAGAGGCCTGACCCCCAGAGGCCTGACCCCCAGAGGCCTGTACGACGAAGCCGGTTCAACCTAACCTGGATATGTTGGAGTTAGCCGGTTGGCCTAATCCAAAACATACGCGCTCTCGCTAAGCGGTACTACGACGCGGGTTATCAAGTGGATCGCTCAAGCCAGCCGTGTCCTATCTAGTTAGGTGTTCACATGAGAGGGGTGGTATCTGGAGCATTCGACCAATCACAGACATGGAGAAGCGCACTGACAGCGCAGCGTCATACTTCCTGAATGAAAAGTGAACTATAATATTAGACATATGAAGAAGTTAAACTTTAAACATCCATGACTTAAACACTTGATCCAGGATCAAAGCCACAGAGCTGCACCTGCAAGGTGAATACAGCTGGGAACAGAACAAGTGTTTGAATGTGTACATTAACAGCTTTATGATATCACTGCCCGTCTAAGACACCATCTGACTTTCATTACATTTGACTCCAGTGTTTCCTCAACTTAATGTGTTGCTTCAAATAATGCTTCTGCATCCAGTCTGTGACGCTGTGAGTGTTGCACGGCCAGATACGGCTCAGCTGACTCAGATCAGGAGATGATACATTATGAAGTGATATGGACTGTACTTAATGTGACTCTGATCCGGTTACTTATGTTGTGGCAGATATTTCAGTAAGCTTTCTTAACGCTAATGTTATAATAGTCAGATTGCTCTGAAGATGGAGCTGATATTCTATTCATGTTCACGTTCACACAGTCGCTGATTTTTCTAACCTGCTCCGGACCAGGTTAGCCGCTAAGCATCAGTTACCATGGAGATCTAGCCGGGTCAAAAAACACCTGAAATGCCAAAAATCCCGTTTGGATATTTAGTTAAATGAAGAAATAAAGAAAACATAAAATTACTTTTATAACATTTTAGAAATACTAATATTCAATATTAAAATAAATGGAAAATGATTTCTTGTAAGATCAAAAATGATGATAAAAAAGAGCAGGAAATTAGAGGTGAAAATGTGTTGCAGGTAAAATCTATTGTTTAAATAATAATCAAATAAAACATTTATATGTATTTCCTCTCGTTTGTCCAGCAGGGGGCGCTGTGGGATCAAAGCTCATTACACTCATGTGTTCATGAATCAATAAATAAATGTTCACCTTTTCAAGTCTTAACGAGAAAATTAACTATGATCTAAAACTCACTTTGTATCATCGAAATATATTTTTAAACTGTTTTCTGAAAATCTCAGAATTATTACTTTTTTTATCAGAAATTATGAGTTTGAGGGAAAAGTCAACATTTTCAGATTTTCATAAAAAAGACAAAATGTTTGGATTTCCTGGAAAAAGTCAAAGAAGAGAGATGTCCCGACCCTCAGCGTACAATGTATTGCAGCGCTAGCCAATAGGAGTGCGAGTGTTCCGTAGTGATGTCACCGTGTTCCTGAGCTTTGGGATTGTATCCTTTGCAGACCATGCACCTAGAAAACTACAGGAGAGGGAACCAGAGAGAAGAACAGGGCCTCTTTCACATCCAAACACCAACTCAGAATGAAGGTCTGCTTTGTATATGTTTTTTAATCATCAAACTTATTCTGCTGGAGAGCAAGAGTATCTGAGAGGGTGCAGAAGACTCAGATCACTGATCCTCTGCTGGAGAGCAAGAGTATCTGAGAGGGTGCAGAAGACTCAGATCACCGGTCCTCTGCTGGAGAGCAAGAGTATCTGAGAGAGTGCAGAAGACTCAGATCACCGATCCTCTGCTGGAGAGCAAGAGTATCTGAGAGAGTGCAGAAGACTCAGATCACTGATCCTCTGCTGGAGAGCAAGAGTATCTGAGAGAGGGTGCAGAAGACTCAGATCACTGATCCTCTGCTGGAGAGCAAGAGTATCTGAGAGAGGGTGCAGAAGACTCAGATCACCGATCCTCTGCTGGAGAGCAAGAGTATCTGAGAGGGTGCAGAAGACTCAGATCACCGGTCCTCTGCTGGAGAGCAAGAGTATCTGAGAGGGTGCAGAAGACTCAGATCACCGGTCCTCTGCTGGAGAGCAAGAGTATCTGAGAGAGGGTGCAGAAGACTCAGATCACCGATCCTCTGCTGGAGAGCAAGAGTATCTGAGAGAGGGTGCAGAAGACTCAGATCACCGGTCCTCTGCTGGAGAGCAAGAGTATCTGAGAGAGGGTGCAGAAGACTCAGATCACTGATCCTCTGCTGGAGAGCAAGAGTATCTGAGAGGGTGCAGAAGACTCAGATCACTGATCCTCTGCTGGAGAGCAAGAGTATCTGAGAGGGTGCAGAAGACTCAGATCACCGGTCCTCTGCTGGAGAGCAAGAGTATCTGAGAGAGGGTGCAGAAGACTCAGATCACCGATCCTCTGCTGGAGAGCAAGAGTATCTGAGAGAGGGTGCAGAAGACTCAGATCACCGAT